CATTTAATGCCTTTTGGAAACTATGTATGGTCTGTGCTTTTTTAGCCTATTTGACCAGTTGAAAGTCAATCCCATGACGGATTCAATTGGCCAACCAATACTGGAACATTTGATGGAGGAAATAGAAGGATCTATAGGTAAACATTCTGTCTCTGATAGTCTAAATTGATTTTCGTTACAAATTGAGTGCAACCTAATTCAATAAGAGTCAATTGTGATCAAGAGTCATTTTATGTCATTTGGGAGATATTAGGATGCCTTCACTCAGTCCTACTACCAATCAAGCAAACTATCCAGTAGATCTGTCTTAATGGAGGTTAACAGAATCCCAATACATGCAGCATTGAATTTAAAGTTGAAAGATAAAGAAACTGGTTTAAAGTATCAAATGGATTAAAGAAATTGCATTGTCAATCAAATACCTGATGTTTTGGACAAAATCACTTGTCAAATCTAAATTTACTTTCGATGCTGTATATCAATAAAACGGGATTAGGTTTTAATCGGCAAAATAGGAAATGTTTAGTGAAAGAAAAGGATTCGATTTTTTGTTCTATTTTTTACTTTTTCTCCTGATAATCTATTGATGGTCCATTAATCTGTGTAAATTTGAGCAAACCAAACAAATTGGATTTAGGTTTGATTATAATGATGATGAAGGAAGAGGAAGAGAGGACATTGCCATTCAATGTTCATGACCAACTCTCTTGATTAACAGCAACTCGTAATCATCTCAATGATCATCAATAATATTAGCAAAATGTCACTATTCATGTATAATAATAATATAAAAAAAAGAAGAGATTGAAAACTGTAACATTGAACAAAGCCGTCAACTGAAGCTCAAGCATAAAATATATTTATAGTTTTTTATTGAAGGGAGGGAAAAATGTTAACTCAAGCTAGGATGGCTAATAATAATGATGATGATGATAATGATGAATAGATGATAACAAGAACAAAAAGTGTATTATAATATGAAATTAATGTTAGACCAATAAAGAAGAATAGATTGAAAGAAACTTTCATTTTATTTTCATCAACATTTTGTCACCAAAACACGGACTTTTAACCATTAAGTTTAACTGTTGAGTCAATCTTGAATCAAAGTTGTAATGTAAAGTTCCAACTCTTACCTTTTTAGGTTGAATAAGATTGAGATTTTGTTGTTCTATCGACGTTGATGATATACTGTTGATTAGCACAATTTAGTCCGTTTTGGATTTGGATTTAGTCCGCTTCAACACTGAAAGTTGCTTGAAAGTTTTTCACTTATTTTTGGTAACTTTGACAATGTTTGTTGTAAAATGTCCCAAACTGTTGTTCAAATTGAAATGAGCTCGAGCTTTACTTTTGGGACACTTTTTGATCGCCTCCTAGACTATGCTTTGGCTGTGTGGGTCCGTCCCTTTTGGGGCCAGTAAAAGATGATAAGCTATTCAATAATAATACGGTTTTACGGTCTTTTGTGCGCATAACGTGCGACTGAAAGGGAAGATAAAGAGAAAGAGAAGATGGAAGAAAAAAGAAAGAGAAAACATTGACAAAAGGACGAATCACGATAACATTTGAAAGGTGAAAGATGAAGATGAGGGAAGAGAAGGAAGATGATGATGAAGAGAAAAGAGAAAGATTATTGAAAGTATTAATTTATCAATATTGAATGTTGGCGAATTAGCGATTTGTTGTTAAACAAAAAACTTGAGATGAACCTTTTTTCCATAGCATTTACCTTTATCATGATCATTATCATGAACCGTTATTGGTTTATTTATCTGGGATAATCAAAGTTATCTTTCATTATTATTATTGTTATCATTTATATAACAGTTAAAGTACATATTTACAGATTCTTATTTGTTTACTTGATAAACTTTAATTGCTTTTCATCATTTTTTCACCATCCATCAAAACGCTGATTAAATCTCATTTTTCATCGTCTTTATTCAATTGACTTTGGTTAATGTAAAGGCTTTCAATGTGATGCTGGAAACATTTTTGTTACTCTTTTCATTCATCCAATGGAACCTTGTTTTCTGGAGTTTTTCGTGTATCCTCAGTTAATTATGGATTTCCAATATTCTAATCTTTACCTCATTTCTTGCTGAATCCTTATTGTTTAACTAAGGTAAACGGGTTATCACCAAACGAAACTGATCATTTAGCTTGGTTTGAAATTGAACCAACTTCTGGGTCCACAGCAGCAGCCGCTATTCGCCTCCAATTAAATATCGGAATAACTCGCTCACAGGCATTCAAAAGAAGTCATAAAATGCCAAATATAGTTTTCCCTGCATTTTGGATGGAAATCAGCTTTTCTTTAATTTTTGATTTTGTTGAATCACTCATATTGATAAGCACGCTTTTATCGCTCGTGCCTACAGTCTACTCTAAATTGCGTGCCTAAACATTTTCTAAGAAATATTTTCTCATCGGTCACTTTTTTCATGTACAAAACTACAAAACTTATCAAGCTTTGTGAATGAATTAGTATATTTTTTATATTGTAACCG